GAGGGAAGTAAAATTGAGCAGAAATCAAGCAAGAGAGGGAGAAAAGGACGGGTAAAAACCTACCCGACAGGTACAACGAACACTGTTTGGGTAATGGGCACACCTAAAGCCATGACTCGAGCATTACAAAAGTAATCCATGCCACCAAAAACTTTTGTATTTGTAGCCCCTTAATATTTTGAAATATAAAAGAAGAAAATAATAAAAAAATTATCCTGGGGAATTCTGAGACATTCTCTATTAATTAGAGAAAAAACCCAAATGCATATCTTACCTTCCACCATGAAAAAGAAAGCAAAATTCTTGGTTTTTGACTTATGGAAGAAGCATATTTCACACCTGGGAATACTTCTTTGACTCATATAATAAGTGACACAAAAAGCCGCTGGGCCAGAGTATGACCTTGTGCAGTAGAGGGTGTATAAGCAGCCCTAGGCTATGGTGAACCTTCCTGCTGAACCATCTTACTGATTGGAGAAGATGCCATTAGACAGTAATGGCAAGCCCCAGCTGGTGAATCATAACACAACAATTAAGGGTTCTCGAGCATGGCCATGTATCTGCAGTGAAAAATTATACACATTTTTGAAAATCAGCTCCTGACATGCTACTTGTTTCTGGTACAGATAAAGAGCCTCTGGTAATGGGACACAAATTAGCCATATAGGAAGAATTATCCATCTTTATCTGGCATTTGGCACAACCCCTAAGTCATAAACTCTTGCAAAAGATTAAAAAATGGTATATCAAAAGTAGACCACAAGCAGGACTGCTAGGTGTAGTTGATCTACATGAGTAGTCCTGCTATCATGTCATTTCTCACTGTTGTACCAGCACCTCTCTGCCAACCAACATTATCCCATACAGAAGTTCTGTTATGACCAGAAAGGAAAAAAATCCCCAAATTGGTTCCTAGAGTAGTTAGTTTGATTTGAGGGTAAAAACCTAAAATGTGTAGTATCTGATTGGGAATGATACGGGAAAATAGTGGATGTGGGAAATCCTCCTAATGAGCGGAACTGTGAGCAGTGTATCTAGTCATCAACTTTGTATGAGATTAGGTGACTACTAGTTAGAGTATACATTGGCTTGTGGACACTGGCACATTTTTTACCACCTTGTCAGGGAGTTGGAAAGAGAAAGATTGGAAACTTAATAATAAGAAATTATGGGTTGGATGCATGTTTTGGTCGTTTGGGAGTGAGAAAGGAGTGTGAATACTTTCTTATCACACGTTATTGCTAACTGTAGGGTATTCTCTGAAATAAAAGAACACATAAAAGAGGTGTTAAACAACTGTAGACAAAATAACATGAAAATGTGATGTCAGCTAGTGTCTGTTATTAAACACATCAGTGATACCCAAATAGTCTCACAAATGGTTGCCACCATGATGGCAAAGATGGAGGCTGCGAATGGACCCCACAGCAGGAGCTGTAACTTGACAACCTGGCCAGAAACAGAGAGAAACATACAGAAAACACGAGCTACAAATATTCTTATAGGTGGTGGCATATGAAGGTAACAACTAAATTATTTTGAGTAAATGGAATTACTAGCAAATTTGAATAGTTTGAAAATGAAAAGGACCAGGATAGAATTTTCGAGAGCCCCAAATTTAAATAAAATTACTAGGAGAGAAGAAGAGGAAAGAAGTAAATGATATAGTAGGCTAAATTGTTTGTTGGTGACTTAAGAATAAGCTGAATATTAACACAGATGCCAATGTGCTCTCTGAATCAATTCCATTACACATGAACCAGTATCATTGTTTCACTCTCTATCATATCATTGTTTCACTTGCCATCTCATCCTTATCCCTATTCTCCATGAAATCCACTGTAGAGGCCCTCCACCATTAGTGTTCTTCTCAAATTTGCAAATGTCTTTACATTACATTGACTGTCTCTTAGTTAACTACACACAAGTCTAAAAACTAGGGGGGAAATGTCAAGGAAAACGATATCATGCTCAAAACTCTTTCTTAGACTTTATCAGATGGTACAGGATAAATGAAGGATTAACTCATAGTGCCGTATTACTGAAATGTACCATTTCAATTTTTTCCTTCCATTCAGAGCATATGACAAGATTACCTCACATATAGGAGGAGGTGTATAATGACTGCTTTTTGAAAGAAGAGGGAAAAACGAAAGAAAGTAGCAAGAGATAAATAGAGGAAGGGAGGTATGGATATAAGTTAACAAACATGTTCAACAACTTTCTTGGAACTTTACCTGGTAGGACTTAGGCATGCCCCTTATAATTTGTCACTCTTAAAATGTTACTGATATTACAAAAAAAGGTTTCAATTGAATAAAAATGAAAATAATGAGGCACTGCAGAGACTAAGAGGTAATGTGTGATAAAAAGTCGATATGGATACAGATTCTTCTTTCTAAAAGAAAGACAAAAACTTTGCCTCAGTGAAAGAAAGTGACACATATATATTTACTTAAATGTTAATAGGATATGATTGGCATAGAAACATATCTATATTTAGGTAGACTTTTAGATTTCTGCAAATAGGAACAACAGAAAAAAATTAGCTTATAAAAATAAAACTTGTTTATATCAGTATCTCTGAGTGTAGCCTGTGGGGAAATGGAAAAAAGAGAGTAAGGAGATTTCTGCAACTTTAGAAACAATTATAGGGATATGAAGTGCTGATGAACACAAGAGGGCTGACTTAAACTCTGCTGTGTCCCTCATGGCTTTGGCTTGTGACTAGGGAATCCTTCATTCCATGTTAATAACCCCTCTTTATCCACACATTAATCAAGGACCATTAAAATTGGTGGCTAACAGCTTTCTTCTCCAATTCGAGCACAAGAAATTCATCCTGCGTTCCAGAATGCTACAGACAAAGGAAAAGTGTGAAAAGTTATCCCAAAGGTGACCACAATGTCATATTGGCAGACAGCACAACACAAGGCGGATTCAAGCTTCTGACAACTGAGTGCCATTATGCAGAGTTCAAATAGAAAATAGAACCATTGCAGAACACAAAACTCAGTGGAATGAGATTGGACTTGAAAGACGAAAAAAACTAATGAGTGAAGGTGAAATGAGGAATGGACAATATTCTTCAGGTATCTGGTAAGAGCACAGCAAACTCCCAGCATCAACAGAGGAATAAGTCTCATGATTCCTGTATTCACCCTCATAATTTGTCATTACCAGCTTCTTCAATAACAATCACTAACCAGGAACTGACATACTCCCCACCTTCCACTCCACTCTCTGTTCTTGTGAGGTCCTGCTCACCTGTCAGGTCTTTGCTCTTGCATCATCAAATACTGTGATTGCTCTCATAGGATTCCGATCATAACTGTGATTATCCTTGGAAGAGAAAATTTTGCCCCTGTTAGAAAGAATCAGTTAGTCAGTTTCCTATGGACGGAGGTATCATAGAATTAAACATTGATGAGAAAACCTGTAAAAATTACAGTGTTTAGTTGACTGACTAGTTTACCTTAAATAGGTGTCATCTGATGCAGCCTTCCTACCATATAATGTCCCCTGCCGATTTGTTTCTTTCATTTGAGGTTTAGCAACATTAAGAACAGCTACTTTTTTGATTTCTGTCACACTGGTGACACTGAGTATATGGTTAGCTGATTCACGTGCTTGCAATTTAAGAAAGAAAATTTATTGACAAGTCTAGGAAAGAATAAAATAACTGAACCATAGTTTTCACTGGATCCCAGTCATTTCTCTAATGTGGAGCGGGAGAATTTCTTGATTAAGAATATGTCGTTTTTAGAAAGTGATGACTTTGATCAAAGAACTGCAATATAAAGTATAAGGGCCCAAATTTTAAGAAAATTCTCTCATCAGTGAAATTAAATGATTACATTTCTTCAGTTATTCTATACCCCTTTTCTGAATTATTTTTGTGATACTCAGGTTTGCCCTGTGTCTTCTCTGTCTTGTTCCCTTTTAAGGAATCTGTCCTTTCACCCCTTTATTATCCATGGATATCTGTGTGTCAGCTCACAAAATTATTACTTCTTAATGAAATATGCAAAAGGCTTTAATAAGGCTATATTGGCCTAATCTCATGCTAACGAAAGCTCTGAGCAATGTAAAACAGGAAACACACCTCTATTCTGGCTAAGTGACCCATTCTCCCATTATTCCAATGTGTGTTATTAAGAATGAGTCTTCTTGCCTCATACTTTGCTGCTGCCCATTCTCTCGCCTCCCAACAGTTCCTCCTTTCTAGGTATTCTATAAAGCATATTACAAAATTTTGAAAGAACACCACTAATTTCAAGGATTTCAGATATTAGAAATATGGCAAAAGAAAATACAATTTTTTTAAATTTCAATAAATTTTAAAAGTGACAAGGAGCTTTGGCCCAGACTCATAAAAAATACATAGATTTGAATTATGTTTTCTAAAGCACTTCTTCCACATTCTTCTGACTACAAATATAAATATGTTATGTTCTTTAGTTTCAAGTATTTCTATCTCTGTTCTCTTTCATAAGAAACCTTTTACGCTCATATACTGGTCATAGTCTGAGAATTTGCTGGTCCCAATTATTCCTGACATAAAGAAAATTGAGAATAATTGAGTACTAAGGGTAGGCAAAATGTGAGAAAAAGAAAGTTTCATCAAACTCTGATTAAAATGTAATTTCTTAGCAAAATAAATATCTAATGCTTTTTCCCCACAGGTCTAGAAAGACAATACCAGACAGGTCAGTAGTTTATTCCTTTACCCAGATGATTTTGCTGGTTCTCATGCAGTCGGCCGGCCGTGCACTTAACACCTTACAGTGGCACAGTGCTTGTGGACGCCCTCCCCGAAAACAGTGATGTGTCTCCATGGATCGGTCTTTTCCCTTCAGTGATACAAGTGAGATCTTAGAGTTCTACCAAAATTGAAAAGACTTAATATAATGACTTTGGGTAAAATCAGAAAATAGAAGAGAATCAATAACATTGACTGACAAATTGTTTTTCTTTGCATCAAGAGGCCCAAGGACAGTATGTCTGTTTCCAACATAACAGTCTACATGCCTTCCGTTTTGACACTGATAGGGATCCCAGGCCTAGAATCTGTCCAGTGCTGGATTGGGATTCCATTCTGTGCCATGTATCTCGTTGCCATGTTTGGAAACTCCTTGCTTTTGATCATTATTAAATCAGAACGCAGTCTCCATGAGCCCATGTATGTTTTCTTAGGCATGCTAGGAGCCACAGACATTGCACTTGCTAGCAGCATTGTGCCTAAGATGCTTGGAATCTTCTGGTTTCATATGCTTGAAATCTACTTTGATTCCTGCTTGCTTCAGATGTGGTTCATCCACACATTTCAGTGTATAGAGTCAGGTGTCCTGCTGGCCATGGCCCTGGACCGTTACGTGGCCATCTGTTACCCACTGAGACACGCCACCATCTTCACCCACCAACTTATCACCCAAATAGGGGTTATGGTCGTACTCAGAGCTGCCGTTCTTGTAGCCCCAAGCCTGATACTGATAAAGTGCCGGTTTCAGTTTTATCACACAACAGTCATCTCCCACTCCTACTGTGAGCATATGGCCATTGTGAAACTAGCTGCAGAAAATGTCCGAGTCAACAAAATCTATGGTTTGTTGGTGGCTTTCACTGTCGCAGGCTTTGACCTCATATTCATCACATTGTCCTACATCCAGATATTTATCACTGTTTTTCGTTTGCCCCAGAAGGAGGCTAGGCTTAAGGCATTCAATACCTGCATCGCTCACATCTGTATCTTCCTTCAGTTTTACCTCCTGGGCTTCTTCTCCTTCTTTACACACAGGTTTGGTTCTCATATCCCCCCTTATATCCACATTCTCTTCTCTAGCATGTACTTACTCGTCCCTCCATTTCTCAATCCACTGGTCTATGGTGCCAAGACTAAGCAGATTCACATTCATGTGGTAAAAATTTTCTGTTCATAATATCCACCTCAATTAACACATTTATGCTCTCCTCTTTTGCAATCTCTTAAAATATAATAAAACAAAAACACATATTCAAGGTGCTTGAATTTTCCATCTAACTGGTTGGTGAAATTTGCCAGTTTGACTCTTGGTTTGACTCTTGGTTTCAGATTGTCATAGCCCATGAATGTGATTCATCAATGGTGTTGTGGATCCTACCTGAGTAATGATAGTGAGACATGTAAAAGGGAACAAAATAGTGAGCATATGTATATATGTAGGGGGAATGAGTACAGTTTATTTTTCTATTTTATGTTTTGTCCCTGGTTGTGTTCTTCCTCTAAGAATCCTTGTATAGGAGAATTTATGAATATGTATCTGTCTTCATTTATTTGCAACTAAGGCTCATTGTTCTGGAGTGTCCAGGTACTCAATGAAAACAAGTTGTTAACTCTCATTTTCTTGATCATTCTACTGATTTAAAAAATAAGAGAAGGTGCATCTTAACTATGTTCTTATTTAAAAAAATCTTTTTTGGATCTCATGAGACAATAAAGTCTAACAATTTAAATGTATTTCCATGGTCATTCAGAGAATTACAGGCACAAAATTTATTAGAAACAGGTGTTGCATTTTATACAATCAATAATTTTTCTGCTACCTCCAGCACATATTTATCAAGTGTTATAAAAAACCTACAATATTATCAATATGTAATATTGTGCTAGAGAATAGTAGCATAGTAGTAAATTTGACACACAATCTCATGACATGAAGATGTAGCTATATATTTCTGGTAGCTAGAGAAAGAAAAGGAGAGAGAAAAGGTAAGGGGAAGGAGGGAGAAGATAGGATTGAAATGAAATGTGGGGTTAAGAAAAAGAATGGAACTTTGAATTCTGTTCGAAAGCAGGAAAGTTTTATTTGGTTTGTTGTTTTTTGTGTTGTTTTGTTTTGTTCTTCATTGTCTGATTCTTGAGGAAAGATGCATGAGTGACCAGGGATGTAAGAACACACAATGACAGGTAACTGATAGAGGAGATTTAAACTGGAGAATGCAGTTTAAGGTAACTGTGCAGTTTTTTCAATATGGTTTGAATCTGAGGTACAATTTTGCAAGACAAGGAAGACATGAAAATAAAAAATGATCATTAACGCTGAGCAAAGTTGGTGAACTTTAGTCTGAAAGCATTAATATGCCCCTGGAAGTTTTTTCTCTGCAAGAAAGACACTTACATGTATATGTGTGAGCTTGGGCTTGCTGCAGCACGTCCTCAGTGGATGCAAAACATTCTGCTTTTAAATGAGCAAGGTTATTATATTTATGAAGAGGTGGAGTGCCTGTATCTGAGATTAATGACCTGAGAACATATGGTTAGTTGACTGTTCCTGAACATGCTCAGGTCATAGATTTTTTTAAAAAAATTATGGAATATATTCACATGTGTACAGATGTCCATACTTTGATTTATCAGACTCAAATCACAGCATATATAAGAAATAGTGGACTGCTTGTCACATAGCTAGTGAGTATTCTGGTTTTAGTGGCTAGGCCTTATTAGATATCTATGGCTGTTCAGAATGATTATATTGTAGATATCAAGGCTATCTTTGGCAATCTTTGAGACTGTTTCAAGTATTGTCAATTATTAGAGCTAATTGTATTGGATCACTAGTAGGGAGTTTTTCTCAGATGACATAGTTTCCTTAATAATAAAACTAAAATAGCACCAAAAGTTATTTCTTAAGATTCTAGCCAGGATTTAGAAAACTTTTATGTAAAGGGCCAAACAATAATTAGGTTAGGCTTTGTGGGTGCAGAGGCAAATTCAAGAGTATTATGTAGGTATTTATATAATAAGAGAGAAAACGTATGTCCACAGAAATATTGTTGATAAAATAAAAATATATTAATAATAATAGTAATTGTGTACTTTTTATGTAATACAGTTCTACTAATTGGAAGAATGGAATTCATTTTTTCTAAAGGGTAAAAATTTGCTTATGTGCAACTGAAAGTTGGAATTTCCCTATAACCATATTGATTGCAAATGTTCATCTGTAAAAACTATGCTTAGTAAGCTATCCTGAAACAGGTAGCAGGCCACTTTTGGTTGCCCACTATAGTTCTAAGATTATTTGAAGAAGTTTTGAAAATATGTCTATTAATTGCTTCTTCTGGCTGTCATCATACAAATATGTGGAAATATAGCACCAGCACAGGGACACAATGTGAAACTACAAAATATTTGTACCATCTTGATTATCAATATCTCATAAAATATCTAGCCCAGAGTCCAGATTACTCAACTGTTATAGTCTTCATATTTCAGGATCAGCTCCAAACTGAAACCTACAAATGAGAAAAAGAAAAAATATAGGTCATTACAAAGACAAGAGGATAATCAGGGCTCTCTACCCTTTTGCAAACTTGCACCAGAACAATTGTTGGAAAAATTCTAGAAATCTCCTTATAATTATATTTAACAGAGTGAAATATTTGTGCTGCTGTCTTTTTTTTCCATTTGTATATTCTTTATGTGAAATACTATATTGTTCCCTGTGTTCACTTTTGTACTTTATGTCTGTACATTCAATATTTAAATTAATTTCATCTATAATACTCTTGAATATGCCTCTTTGTTCACAAAGCATAAGCTAATTATCATTTGGCCCTTTATATAAAAGTTTGTTGAACCCTGGCTAGAATATTAAAAAATAACCTCTGATGCTATTTTAGGTTTTTTATTAAGAGAAACTATGTTATCTAAGAAAGACAGCCCCTATTGGTAATTCAGTACAATTAGCTCTAATAAAATTGCTTCAAAGAGAAAAATATGTTTTGTAAAGAATACTTTTCAAGTTTCTAGAGATCCAAAAATTAATTTACAAAGAGATAGCATCAACTTCAACAATGACTAAAATGATTGGTTTGCCTGAATTCTCAATGGAGCTGCATATTATTGGCATTTTTAACCTTTGATTGCTGATAGGTGAAATACGATGCTCCCTATAATTGTTATTTAATAGAGTGAAATATTTGTGCTGTTGTCTTTTTTCATATGAATATTCTTTATGTGATATACTTCATTGTTCCCTTCATTCACTTTTTTACTTTTAGTCTGCACATTTAATATTATATAAATACTTTAAAAGTTTTAGAAAAGGCACACTGTTCCTTAAAATTTCCCTGATTCAGAAAACAGTATCACTATTCCTTCACTTGACCAATCCAGAAATCTAGTCAGTTTCTTTGAAATTGACTTCAATTCCATATAATATACCTACCAAGTATGTTAATCACCAAGTCCTGGTGATTCCTTAAACAGGTCTTTAATATATTGCCTCCTATCCATCAGTTATAACTTCTTTCCTGCATCAATCCTTCATAAGATTTTATGTGAAATAATGAAATATTATATTTTTCTTCTTTAATTTATTGATATTTTTATATAAGGCATGTTTCAGTAAGTTACTAAAGTTAGCTTTGCAAAATTAAAATCTAGTCTGTCATCTTTGAGTATTATGTTTTACTTGTTCTTCAGAGAGCCTTTTCTTTCATTTTCTATAGAAAATAATTTGGTGTATTTATCTCTATGTTGTTCCTTATACTATGTATGCTAAAGCTCGTACATTTTTGCCTGATTGCTGGCCAGCTTTTAGAATTTAGTTAGATGTGTTCTTTAATTACAGAATTTTGGCTCTTTCTCTGGTTTGTTTCTGTCCTCCTGCTCCAAGATTACATAGCAGCTATTACATTGCTCTCCAATGTCGTTTTTCATTATGTAACTATTCCCTCCACAAAGAGCATATATCTACTTTATTTGTATGCCTATGACCTACACACAGTTTGTGGTACCTTAAAAAAAAAAAACAAAAAAAAACTTTTAGTCAGTTTTATTACAGCTTTAAGAATCTTCTACAACATTGTACCATCCCACTCTTATCAGCTATGGAGCAGGGAACAGGATGAAAACAGGTTAAGTGTCAAGTGAGAAGCCAAAGTAGCAGTTTAATATCTGATGGACAGGATGGGTCTTGGTGGTGGTGAGGAATGTATGTGTATGTGTGTATATATACATGTATGTGTGTTGGGACGTAGGAATGTACAGCCCGTTTGGGAGAGAGAGACGACCGCCCAAAAAGACTCAGAGTCCAGAGGCTTGATGCAAAAGAGCAGGAGGGTTTTTTTATTTCCAGCGCTGGGGCGTACATCACCGAGCTAGGGGAGCTGCCGCGCCACTTTCAAGCTTGGGGGGTTTTTTATAAGCTAAAACCGCAGCCGGTGGTTAGGGAGTTTAGGGTGGGGAAATTCCACTGGTCTTGTCTTGTATAACTGGTTGCACTTAGTTCCGGGAACTTGTAACAGCTATAACAGCTATTTCCTGGAAGGGCGGAAGGGGTGTGGGGTCTTGGTTTTCTAAGAGCAAGCGTGGTTACAGAAGCAGAGAGCTGGTTAGGCTAGTTTGGGGTCTTACATGTGCATGTGTGTATATGTGGGTATCTGAAAGATTTAGGGCTTTCCCAATTGAACTCTAATCCTATTTCCCACATATAATCACTGTTATCAGTATAACAGCCTCCTTTCAGATGATTTTATTTTATTTTATTTTTTTATTTTATTATTTTTTTAAATCCCAGTTATTAGAATGTATTTTATTTTTTTCAAGTGTATTATGGAGGTACAAATGTTAAGGTTATGTATATTGCCCTTGCCCCCTCCCCTCTCGAGTCAGAGCTTCAAGCCTGTCTATCCCCCAGGTGGTGCACATCACACTCATTATGTATGTACATACCCATCCCCCCTCCCTGCCTACCCGACACCTGATAGATGTTAGGCTGACTTTTCCACAAAAAATTATAACCATGATGAATTATATTAGTTTTATTCACTTAATGTACTTTAATCATCTTTCATTGGCAACATGTAGAATTTCATAATCCTTTATGAAGCCCATAAATTGTTTCCTTTTCATAGATGTACCATGAGTCGTCTTAACCAATTATGAATTGACAAA